GTTTAACTGGTTTACAACTATATGAAACAGGATGCTGGACCAGATGGACTACTGGTCTGATCCAGCAGGGCTCTTCTATCATTATGAAAGAGAACTTGTCATGCTGCAGCCTTCCACCCTCACTCATGTCTGTCTACACAAGAAGCCAATATTTTGGAACCTAGTTACTCTACAGTTTTGGAAACATTAATCTCTTCCATAGCAGGGCCAGAGAATCCCCCCCCCCCCAAGGATGGAGGTAAACATTCAAATTCAATGGTTTAAAGCATGCCAAAAATAAAGATTTCAACCCCCAAAGGGGGTTATCAATGAACTGAATAAAACATCTAAACATAAAACACTTCAGAGAGTATTTGTAAGATATAGGAAGGTGGCAGAGTCACCATTTTAAGCATACTGGTTACATATAGCTGAATGTACACATACTATACATTAAACACTGATGTTTTCACAAAGGGATAAGGCATTTTGGCTGCAGGCTGCAATTACTCCTGTCAGCCGTCTCTCTGATATATTACAAGAGCCTCCATGAATCTCTAATAGTGGCAAGTCTTTTAGCTTTCTGTGCACATGCAATTTTCCCCAAGGGTTTAAAGCATACTTACACCTCATGTATCCCACATTTGTGAGTGGATTGGGACATCCTGTCCTCCCATAAACATCAGACCCTCATGAACAGCAGGAGTCTACATTGGAAGGGGGAAACTGGAAGAAGCCCTTCTACCATAGGAAACAGATCATAAAATATAAGCCTGTCTACACCCAGAGACATCAACACAAATGAATGTGTGCTCTCCTTCCATCATTAAAGGACCAAGTTCCAGTACCCTTAAAACATGAAAAATTTCTACAAGATACCACTACAATGAGAGGAAACAGCATATCCCATACTATGCATGCCTACACATATACATATCTGGTTACAGAGTACAGGTACAGAAACCTACAACCAGTTGCAGCTTCCTAGTGAATTTCAAACTGCTACATGGAGGGGTTCTTTTGATATAGAAATGGTAGCCCATCGCTTTAAGAGCTGGGGCTGTCTTAAGTGAGTCATAGACCATGAGAAAGAGGAAGCCCAAGTAGTCATAATCTATACCCAACTTGGAAAGAACGGCCTATTAGATAAAATGTCCAAAATAACTAGTGTGTGAATTCCAGTTTACCAACCACACCATAGTTAGGGCTGCTTGCAATACAACTTCCTACAGCAGCCACCCACGCATGCAAGGAATTCTATTCACACAAGTCACGTATCAAAAGCACACATACATCTATTTCACTGTACTCACATGTAAGTAAGCCACAACTGGCCACAGCTTCCAGATACAAACATTCATGCCACAAAATACATAGGTACATTTGTTACATAGGATGAGCAACATACAGTTGGCACAATTATTTTTACAAAGAGCTAGCATCACAATTGCCATTAGTTGGGAGCATGATTTTATATTTCTTTTGATATAGCCAATGCTCTTGTGCAGATCCAACTGCCCTCCTCTCCACACTTCTTGGTAGGGATGACATACTTTTTAAAAGGTACATATTATTTTATCCATCAACCCCTAGCTATCTCCAAATACAAAATCAGGCTGGCCCAGTCTTGGAAGTGTTACAAACACAAGTAATCACCTACAGCATTCTTCCGCAGGTGGTAATTGTATTCTATAAAAGAAGCAACAGCTACAAGTTAGCCAAAGCTTATTATTGCTCTGACTCTGGTCTGCAAGGAAGCTATTGACCTGATGCTTTCATTAGGATGGCTATCATTGTGCTAAGGAATTTTCAGCCAGGCTGATGAATTTCCTTCCACAAGCCTAACTACATCATGGGCTTTTGCCAGAGGATGGGTAGAGAGGAACTCATTAATAGTTGGTTAATCATATCAGTTAAGATGGTGAGCCCGGGGATTCCTGGTACAAATCTCAGTCATGAGCACCCTAGAGTAACTTTTTAGGTAAAGCAGTATTCTCTTATCTGAACCTATCTACCTGCAATGTACAACTACTCCTCATTTACTTTGCAGGGCCATTATAAAAGTTACTAGGACTTATCTGTGAAAGGCACTAAACACTCAAAATACTCCATCTAGTTGTCAGCTGGACAGCTCCATTTTATATACAACCCACCAAGCCATGAAAAGGGTACAGGGGAAAGAGGCTCAGAGAAGTACATGTAACAAACAAAAAAGGAAAAATTGTAATGGTGGTAGATTAGCTTGGATACCCATCTGTAACTTGCTCATTTTCTGCTTCTCAATATGAGCTTGAGAAACTACCAGATTGATAGGTCTAAACAGTTCGGCAAAAGAAAAGACCTATATGTATCTTCAGCCTTTAATTGTATGAGATACTTCGTGTTTCTGAACCAGAACTTTCACAAGATTTACTATGATTACTCCAGTGTCTTGGTTTCATTGCTGTGGCTTACCAACCAGTCAAGTTTAGCTTCCATTAAGCTTCTTATAGTACTATCAATATTACATCAATTTTATAAAGGGAATATTATTTTATTACAAAAAGAGTGCTTTTATGAAGCAAAAAACTGTTTTTTTTAAAAAAAAAATCAAGATCTCTAAATTTTTTAATTAACTAAGCCTTCAACTATGGCAGTGAGATATTCTGCCAGCCCTTAGGAATAGGCCAAGTGACCTACAGCCACCAGTGCCTAGGTAGAAGAGCTGTGGACAAAAAGTCATACATTTCAATGAAAAAAACATGAATACCTTTATAGGATTTTGCAATTAGCCAGTGTGCTGTAGGCTTAATAGAAAAGGTCCAGAAGGATGTATTGCACTTCCTTTTCTGAAAGGAAAATTATTTCCATCTTAGGAAAATCAGTGCATGGCACTATTAACAAAGGACACTTCTCAGAGCAGTGAGTAAATAGGTTAAAGGAATATCAAAGATGTGCAACTGTAAAAGTATAGAATGGTACAAAAGACAACACAGTATAACAGACACAAGAAATTGGAGACGTTTGCTATGAAGTCCAGTTTTATGTTTGAGACTTATTCTTTCCAGTGGAAGTTCTACATGACATGCCCTAATTAGGGCTAGCCAATCAAATGAAAGCAGTAAATTGTGACTGACTGTCATCCCCATGAGATGTTCTGCCAATTCCTTCCATCAGTACCTGTTCACTGGTATAAATGCTTTGAGCAATGACAACTTGGGGCTAGAGTCACTGATAAGTGCAATATGCAACTTGCAAGATTTGGATTCTCTGGAAAACTTTGAGCAACATGAAAGTTACTCCCCTACACTCCTGCCAAAAGAGACCCTGAAATCCTGATAACAGTCCAACATCCTCTGCTTTGGAGGCATTGCAGTCCCGTTTCCACTGACCATCTCACTATATTGGCAGGATCTGTTCTAGAACACTTTTTGAAGCCTGTGGAATTCTGTCTGGGAATCTGACATCAAACTCAATAATAAGATCCCCTCGCTGGTTTACATTCTTGGGAAAGGGAAGCCCTTCCCCAGGAATTCTTCGCTTCATTCCAGGTTTAATGACATCCTTGAATACCATTGGTATGGTCCTACCATCGAGCGTCGGAGTATTCACAGTACAGCCACACAGAGCCTAAATATAAAAACAAACCAGAGAAATTAGTAAGTTTTCTGCAGAGGAAACTAAATTTCCATTTAGTCTACAAAAAAAGATTTAAGTGGGCTAAATACTGAACAAACAGGAAAAGATTGTCAAAAGTCATCTGAACTTTAAACCCACCACAGGATTTATCACTGTGGCCCAATTTAAAACTGATCACAAGTACAATTTGTTCTCATAAAATTTTGGAATGTCTTAATGGAGGATACTCTTAATGTCAAGAATGTGGCAAGTACATTTGTAGAATGTATTTTTAAACTCCAGAAAGGGGGAATAGTCCTACTTTTAGGATCTAGGACAGGGGTCTCCAAACTATTTGAGCCAGCAGGCATCTTTGGCATTCAGACACGGCATGGTAGGCACAACCACAAAATGGCTGCTGCAGGAGGCGGAGCCAGCCACAAAATGGGTTCAGTAGCTTACCGTCACTCACACATTGAAGACCTCCATGCTGTTCTGGCAGGGGCTGCCAAAGCAACAGATTTAAAAACTTGCACAGAAAAACAGATCTCCCATGGCCAATCAGAAGCCTTGCTGGGCAAAAGCCCTACATGGCCCTGTCCACTTTCTAAAAGCTCTTTATGGGCAACAGGAAAGATGGCAGCGGACAACATGGTGCTCACAGACAACATACTAGGGACCCCTGATCTTACTTCCTTTCCTCATTTGTTACCAGGAAACCTTATACATTCACTTACCTCACGGAGGCTGATCTTGGCTGGGAATATAATATCAGACCCATCTCTCTTAAAAGTGCTGTGTGGCTTGTCCTTTAAAACAAAGACAATATCAGCTGGAATGTTGTTTGGCATTTGGTCTCCTTCTTTGGGGAAGGTAATCTTTGTTCCTTCTTTCCATCCACGCTTTACTTCAATTGTTAGAATCTTATCTTCAGTACGTGTGGTCTTCCCATCTGCACTGAGACGCTTATGAGAAATTTTCATTTTCTTGGTGCATCCAGTGTAAATCTCCTCCAAGGATACTCTCAAGTCATGAGTAATAGGAGGGTCTTGTTTCTTGCGCACGTTTTCATGACCTCCACGAGTGCGAGTAAAGCCAATGTTTCCAAAGCTTTGAAAATTTGCAAAAGGATCATCAACATCCATGTCTTCATCCCCATTCCTTTGTACAAAAAAGGTGTCAAAAGGATTGCGCCCACCAAAGAACTCTGCAAACATGGCATGAGGATCTCCATGAAAGGTGTAGGTAAATGAAGTGCCATTGGGACCTCCTCCACTGCAGCTGGGACCGCCTCCCTTTAGTCCTGGAATACAGCAACATAGGAATAAGCCTCTTCCAGCGGTTACACAACTGTAATCTGTCATACTACATCAGGAGCTCCAATCCTGAAAGCCTCTCTCCCCTTGGCATCTTTTTCTACTTGGAAACTGAAACATACCAACTATTTTTAGGATTCCAGATAAATATTTTGAGTACAGCCTTTAATGTGCACTACCTCCCATATGGTCTTTGGAGTGTTGTATTTTATTAAAGAAGACAACCAGTACAAATACCTTTACAATGCCTACTCCATTTTTACTCACAAGAGTTCCAAGTTCAGCACATACAGGAGAATTATAGCCTAAATCACTGAATTAACAAAAGCTCTATTCTCATACTTAGTGTTTAGTGGCAATACCAAGGATCCAAAACTGCCACAAACACAAAACAGAAGAACACTTCACCTCAGCTTGCACAGCTTATCATAACATACTTGAGGTTTCAGAAACATTCCTCCAAGTGAAACTAAAACGGTAACAGAGAAGTCAGTATATACAAAAAAGCTAGAATCTTCTAGCAAGACCTAGAAGAGTTCTGTAGCAAAGGCTCCACCTATCTTAGAAAGCCTGTCATGCAGCCAGCACAGCCAATCCATGTTAACAACTCCCATGTAAAAGAAACTATTCAGCATTTGCTAACTATAAGCATGAGACACAATATGAAAAGCTCTACAAACCTAGGACAATTTGCATAATGAAAGCCTTTCATTTCATACACTCCAGGCACCAATATGCCAACAGAACAGCATAAAATGTCTGAGGTCCACAACAAACTGTTCTCAGTTGAGGGAAATATATGCACAAAGCAATCCTTATCTACTCTAAAAAATCTAACCGAGCCACAGAGAGCAGGAATTTAAAACAATTCTAACACTACAGGTTTTGTTTTTTTATTTTCTTTCCTGCCTGAAGTATTTGAACTTGATTTCAAAGTAGGCTTCCCAGACAGGAAGAACCTGTAGGGTAGTGGTAAACTTTTAAGGAGTGACCTTAATGTAACAAAAAACAATTCAAAGATGGCAACTAATCTGGCCAGTGCCCAAGACGACACAGCGAAGTAACTTGTTTTTTCTCCCTTTTTCCTTCCTTCACTAGTCTTGGAAAACCAGCCCTGGAATTTGTTGCTGAACACTCATTCTGACAGCCACTCCAAAAGGAAATGATCCTTAACAGCTCTAAAACGTCGATCATCAAGCAAACAATCTCCGAACTAACAAGATAGTATCTTTCAGGGATTGTGGATGAGAAGGGAAAATGGAAGAGCAAAACTGCAAACGAGTAAGGGCAGACCAAGACTGAACAACAGCTATACGGACAGCGTAAGAAAAAACTAAAAACAATTCACAGAATACTTCCTGCACCAGTGAAACCTCTTGATGGCCCCATTCGAGCATTCAAGAAGTTTCAACTTTAGTTTTCGCTCTAGTAGGAGCTCCGTTGGGTTAGCTACAGCCTACTTTCCTGACCTCAAAGTCTTTTCCAGTTTTTAAAATTCCGCCCTTTAAACGACAACTAGGTGTTGTCCTTGTATAGCACCTGTGTTTACAGAAGACTTTCTACCCTAACATCAATTGCTGTACTCCAATGCCCACTTGTTCGGGATTAAGCCCCAGTGGATTTAATGGGACTTGCTTCTGTACAAAACAGACATAAGCCTAACATCTGGACTTCCCTTCCACCACCTTCTCTACACCGCCCACCGGGCCCGGCCCGCCTAGGTTGGTTCAAGCCCTCTCACGTACCCTCTTCGCCAAACTTGTCGAAAATCTCGCGCTTCTTGGGGTCACTGAGTACGTCGTACGCCTCGGCGATCTCCTTGAAACGTTCCTCAGCGCCAGGATCCTTATTCTTGTCAGGGTGATAGCGCAGCGCCTGTTTACGATACGCCTTCTTAATATCGTCCTCGGTGGCTCCACGGGACAGGCCCAGGATGCGGTAGTAGTCCTTCCCCATCGCCGCTAACGCCAAATCCACTCCCTCAACCTCTTCACGAACACGTCCCGAGCTATAACTCGCGGCCGCCGCTTCCCCCTCCGTATTTATAATGCAGGCGGAGGAATCTTCCAGAGTTTACCACAACAGTCTCCACATTAATCCTGCCCATCCATTCTGCTTTCGCCAATCGCAGACAACGCCCTGTGCTCTCGGCCAATGACGATGCGGCGTGCGTCACACATGGTGGAGGAAGTAACGGTTGCCGAGAGTCCGCCACTAATTTAATGTGAAAAAATGTTCGTCGGACCACCAATGGCCGGAGGGAGGAGCCGTAGTTCTGGACGTTCGGTTTTCCAAAGTTTTCACTCCCGCTAACGAAGGGGGGGGGGGGTCGACGGGGGTTTGTTCGCTCTGGGATTGTTCACTCCTATTAAAATGCTTCAAAATATGGGACGTTAAAACGCCACCTGGAGGCCACTCCCCCAATTTGCCAGTACCTAAACCAACCAATCACTAAGAGTTTAAACTAGACAGACAGTGCTTTGCAGCCCGCCCCTCCCTCTGTAGATTCACTTGTGTATAATTTCTGTTGTTCAGTCGCACAGTCCAGTCCGACCGTTCAGGATCCCAGTCCAAGCCCTCCTGTCTTCCCTCGTCCTCCGGAGTTTGCTTAATTTAATGTTTGTTGCCTCGATAACACTGTCTAACCATCTCATCCTTTGCCGTCCCCGTCTTCTTTGACCTTCAATCTTTCCCAGCATCAGGGTCTTCTCCAGTGAGTGCTCCCTTCTCATTTGGTGGCCAAAGTATTTGAGCTTCAGTTTCATTATCTGGCCTTCCAGGGAACAGTCAGGGTTGATTTCTTTTAGGATTGACTGATTTGATCTTCTTGCAGTCCAAGGGACTCTCAGGAGTCTTCTCCAGCACCATAAATTCAAAGGCATCTATTCTTCGGGGCTTGGCCTTCCTTATGGTCCAGCTCTCACAGCCATACATGACTACTGGGAATACCATTGCTTTGGCCATATAGACTTTTGTTGGCAGGGTGATGTCTCTACTTTTTATCATGCTGTCAAGGTTTGCCATCGCTTTCCTCCCAAGGAGCAGGCATCTTTTAATTGGCGTCTTTTAATTTCATGGCTGCAGTCACAGTCTGCGGTGATCTGGGATCCCAGGAACGTGAAGTCTGTCACTACTTCCACGACTTCCCCTTCTATTTGCCAAGGAGTGATGGGGCCGGATGCCATGATCTTAGTTTTTTTGATGTTGAGCTTCAAGTTCACTTTTGCACTCTCCTCCTTTACTCTGAGCAAGAGGCTCTTTAGATCCTTTTCACTTTCAGCCATTAGAGTGGTATCATCTGCATATCTGAGGTTGTTGATCTTTTCCCCAGCAATCTTAATTCCCGCTTGTGATTCATCCAGGCCAGCATTTCGCATGATGTACTCTGCATATATATTAAATAAGCAAGGCGACAATATACATCCTTGTCGTACTCCTTTTCCTATGCTAAACCAATCAGTTGTTCCATATCCAGTTCTAACTGTCGCTTCTTGGCCCTTATACAGGTTTCTCAAGAGACATGTGAGGTGGTCTGGTACTCCCATCTCTTTAAGGACCTGCCATAGTTTGTTGTGATCCACACAGTCAAAAGCTTTAGCATAGTCAATGAAGCAGAAGTAGATATTTTTCTGGTACTCTCTTGCTTTCTCCATAATCCAGCGAATGTTGGCAATTTGATCTCTAGTTCCTCTACCTCTTCGAAACCCAGCTTGTACTTCTGGTAGTTCTCTATCCACGTACTGTTGAAGCCTAGCTTGTAGGATCTTGAGCATGACCTTGCTAGCGTGTGATATGAGTGCAATTGTGCGATAGTTTGAACATTCCTTGGCATTGCCCTTCTTTGGGATTGGAATGTATACTGACCTTTTCCAATCCTGTGGCCACTGTTGCGTTTTCCAAATTTGCTGGCAAATGGAGTGCAGCACTTTAACAGCATCATCTTCTAAGACTTTGAATAGCTCAGCTGGAATACCATCACCTCCACTAGCTTTGTTGTTAGCAATGCTTTCTAAGGCCCATTTAACTTCACATTCCAGGATGTCTGGCTCGAGGTCAGTGATTATACCGTCGTGGTTGTCAAGGACATCGAGGTCTTTCTTGTATAGTTCTTCTGTGTATTCTTGCCATCTTTTCCTAATCTCTTCTGCTTCTGTTAGGTCCCTACCGTTTTTGTCCTTTATCATGGCCAGCTTTGCATGGAACGCTCCCTTGATTTCTCCAACTTTCTTGAAGAGATCTCTAGTCCTTCCCATTCTATTGTTTTCTTCTATTACTTTGCACTGTTCATTCAGGAAGGCCTCCTTATCTCTCCTTGCTGTTCTCTGGAAATCTGCGTTCAGTTGGGTAAATCTTTCCTTTTCGCCTTTGCCTTTCGCTTTCCTTCTTTCCTCTGCTATTTGTAAAGCCTCATCAGAAAGCCACTTTGCTTTCTTACATTTCTTTTTCTTTGGGATGGTGGTGATTGCTGCCTCCTGTACAATGTCACGAACCTCCGTCCATAGTTCTTCAGGCACTCTATCTATCAAATCCAGACCCTTGAATCTATTCTTCACCTCTACTGTATATTCATCAGGGATGTGATCTAGGTCAAACCTGAATGGCCTCATGGTTTTCCCGATTTTCTTCAGTTTAAGTCTGAATTTTGCAATGAGTAGCTCATGATCTGAACCACAGTCAGCTCCAGGTCTTGTTTTTACTGACTGGATAGAGCTTCTCCATCTTTGACTGCAAATTATATAGTCAATCTGATTTCGGTGTTGCCCATCTGGTGATGTCCATGTGTAGAGTCGCCTCTTAGGTTGTTGGAAAAGGGTGTTCGCTATGACCAGTGTGTTCTCTTGACAAAACTCTGTTAACCTTTGCCCTGCTTCATTTTGCTTTCCAAGGCCAAACTTGTCTGTTATTCCAGTTACCTTTTGACTTCCTACTTTAGCATTCCAGTCCCCTATGATGATGAGGACATCATTTTTTGGTGTTAGTTCTAGGAGGTGTTGTAGGTCTTCATAGAACCGGTCCACTTCAGCCTCTTCTGCATCAGTGGTTGGGGCATAGACTTGGATTACTGTGATGTTGAATGGTTTGCCTTGGAATCGGACAGAAATCATTCTGTCATTTTTGAGATTGTATCCCAGTACTGCCTTTTGCACTCTCTTGTTGACTATAAAGGCCACACCATTTTTTCTACGAGATTCCTGGCCACAGTAGTAGATATAATGGTCTTCTGAGTTAAATTCGCCCATTCCTGTCCACTTTAGTTCACTGATTCCTAGGATATCGATGTTCAGTCTTGCCATCTCATTTTTGACCACGTCAAGCTTACCTTGATTCATAGATCTTACATTCCAGGTTCCTATGTAGTATTGTTCTTTGCAGCATTGGACTTTCCTTTCACCATCAGACACATCCACAACTGAGCGTCCTTTCGGCTTTGGCCCAGCCGCTTCACTCTTTCTGGGGTTACTTGTACTTGTCCTCTGCTCTTCCTCAGTAGCATATTGGACACCTTCCGACCTGAGGGGCTCATCTTCCGGCGTCATATCTTTTAGCCTTTTGATACTGTCCATGGGGTTTTCTTGGCAAAAATACTGGAGTGGGTTGCCATTTCCTTCTCCAGGTGGATCACGCTTGGTCTGAGTTCTCTGCTGTGGCCTGTCCGTCTTGGGTGGCCCTTCACGGCATAGCCCACAGCCCACAGTCTCATCGAACCACGCAAGCCCCCTCACCACATCAAGGCAGTGATCTATGAGGGAGTGGGTATAATTGCTATCTGGCTAATGGTTGGCACGTTGTGGCTGAGGAAATGAAAGTTTATGCGCTGCACAATTGGTGATCTTGAAATACAATTTTGACTATAGGAGACTAATGCGGTTGCTCCTCTGGAAAACTTTTTACAGGGTTATCCATCCACCAAAAGGTTACAACAAATGTTTGATTGTGCACAGGAAAGGAATTAAACAATTAACCATACTATTTTATAAAATAGAGACATACTGCCTTTCAACTTCCAGCACTCGAGGCCGTTCACAATAATAAATCGCTCACTGCCTCAATTACCATAATAATAATAAAAAGCAGCTCCACCAGATCTGCTAAAACTAAACAAATTATAACATAAATATTAATGCTTCATCAGCTCTAACATCAGTAATTAATCACAGACTGCAACCAACTAAAAAATGTAAACACAATCAAAAGAAGAGGGAGCAAACAAAAACTGCACACCACTCAAAAACCAGCTGAATTTTTTGAAAAAGAAAGTACTGGTTTTGTGCTAATAAATATCCATTGATAGTTCCAGATCAAGAACCAGGAAAAGACATTCCACAAGGGGGGGGGGAGCCACCAAAGTGGACTTATTTTTTGTGGCAACTAAGCTCACTTCAGAAGGTGGTGGACACAAAGATGGGACTCATCTGCAGTGTCCTGCAGGGAATCCTTCAGTTACACAAGCCCTAGGCCATATATGGCTTTAAAGATCAAAACCAGCACTTTGAATTAATATTGGAAACAAACAGGCAGGCAGTGATACACTACTTGTAGTGATCTACTGTAGCTAGCATTCTTGCTGTTGCATTCTGGAGCGATTGAAGCTGGACTGCCTTCACAGAGCACTTAAAGTAATGAAGGTGAAAGGTGATAAGAGGCATGGACCACAATGATCAGATCACTTTTCAGTGATTACAGATAGCAAATCAGTTGTGTCTGTTTAAAGGCACTACCCCGTAGATATGAAATCTGAATATCCATCTGTAGATCTGGACCTTACAGCACCCCCAAACGGTAAATTTAATCCTTCCAGAGAAATACAACCCCATCCAGGGTAGGAAGGATCTGATTCTATGATCCATACCAGTCAACATAATCTCATTCATATCTAGATTGGGCCTTCATCCAGCCTATTATACTATTATTTTTAAAATGTGTATCTCCTACTTATTAACCACTACAAGCTCTCAAGATGCTTTTACCACCATCAAACATCACACACACCAGAATGTATACGATTCCAAAGAAACTAAAACCAAACAAGAATGTAACAGAGCACTGAAAAATTAACAGGAATGCTAAAATCTTATAAAGCCTTTAGAATCT